TTCAATTTAATGAATAACTATAACTCTGACGTTGATTCGATACGCAATTGTGTGTTCTACATATGAACAATATTTAAAGCGAGGTAAATTATTGACAAACAAGTTTAAGAAGCAAGAATATCAGATGTCTCGTTTTAAGTCATCATTCCGCTGTCTTAGAGAATATTATCAAGTCATCCAAATATAGATGAAGCATATATCCAGGTAGGGATTTTATAGTTAATCAACAGATTGCGAAACAACAACCAGACGGACACAGACTACCAATTATTTTGCTATACATTCCTTTATAATATAAAAAATGATTAAAAATTACACCGGCTCAACTTACCTAAAACTTGGCGCAGAGTAAGATGAATTCAAGTCCAAAAATTTTTCAGACTCTCGGGAAAATTCATCGCATGCAGTTCCTGCTAAGGCATCGCAAATAACCCCTACCCTGCTTTTTTCGCTTTCTCTTCGGGGAAAGGGTAAATATGGGCCTCTTTACACCCTTCATCCTACGCGCTTAAGTGCAAAATTCCGCAAGTTTTGTATTTTTTTTTCAAACCCTCTCCTTTCCATCTATGCCCAAAAATAACATCATTCCACGCCATAAGCACCCCCCAAGAATTTTTAAGAAAAAACCTCTATTTTTAATCTGGAACTCTTTGCGTGGTCAATCTGTAACCAGACTGGGAGAAAAGGGTTAACTATTTACAAACTTTAGCTTCCAGCAGTGTATTTCATTCCAGCAACAGTAAAAAACCTACCAGAATTGAGTGATCAGACAGAGGTTGATGTTCGTCGTCATCAGTACAATGACCCAGTGTTAAGGTTTTGGATACCATACGTGTGCGAGATCGGTACAAACCAGCAAAGCACCATTTACCATACAACAACAAACTTAGACTGAGAGATAGGATCATCATTAGAGACACCACAGAAAATGAAAAAAAAAGAAATCACATATGCTTTTTCCTAGATAATACATGGAACAGTACTGTACCATCTTCATACTGACATGGGACATCCAGGCCATGAGAAAACCATCAGTTTAATCAGTCTGAGAGATAGATTTTATTGGCGAGGAATGACAGCACATACCGAACATTTCATTCCAAACTGGAGGAGATGCTCTTTAAGAAGAACACCAACAACAAGAGCTCCACTTATTAAATCAGAACATCACAACCTTTAGAACTCCTGGTTGTAGACTACCTTAAATTAGAAAAATCAAAAGGAGGATATGAAAACCTCTTAGTCATCACCGATCACTTTACTAGATTTGCGCAGGCTGTAGCTACAAGGAACAAAACTGCCATAACCACAGTCGAGGCATTATACCATCATTTTATTGATCATTACGGAATACCTTTGAGACTTCACAGTAATCAGGGTGCCAATTTCGAATCTAAGATCATAATTGGAGTTAGCGAATCTAAGGGGTGTTAAGAAAATACGTTCCGGGATGAAATATTTTCAAAAATTTCAAAGTAGTGCTTAACTAAAGAGATGAATTTTCAAGTCTGACAAAATCACAAGTGTGCTTAAGATTTATAGCAAATAATTTCTAGTGGGAAATTATAGGATTTTTCTTCCATATGAAAAAAATATATAACATCTTTAAAGCACCCGAATGATGGAAATGCTGGTCATTTTGAGTGAAAATAAAGGATGTTTACTCTTGTATCTTCATAGCTTATCTTGCACCAGACAAGCTGATGAGCGTAGGTATAAGAACGATATATCACTTTTCAAAAGAATAGGTTTTTCATTTTGAATATATATTTCACAGGTTTGATAATTTTCCCATAATATTTGAAAGGATGTTTTGACCTGCGTGCTTAATATATGTCACAAATATGTATCATCCGTAATTTTTCTGAACAGACATCATCTGTTTTAATACCTGTCCTACCCATATTGATTCAACAAAAGACATTAAAATCCTTATCAGTAGCAAGAATGGAGTCTTTAAACATGAAATATCACAAAACGTAAATATCTTCTCATCGTATTTCTTTTTGAAAATAAAAGAAAAATGTTGAACGAACTTTCTTAACACCCTTTAGAACACCTTACCACCCCATGGGCAACGGCTTAATAGAACGCTTCAATAGGACTCTTCTTAAGATGTTAGGAACACTTGAAAATTACCCAAAACAGGATTGGAAGTCTCACATTTCAACTCTAGTTCATGCCTACAGTTCGATGAAACAGGAAACAACAGGCCAATCACCTTTCTTTGTTATGTTTGGACGAGAACCCATACTTCGAATAGACCTAATTTTCAAAACAGATGGACCAAATCAACACAAAAACCTGAATTCCTACATCAAATCTTTGAAATCTAAATTAGAACATTCTTACCATTTGGCACAGAAATCTATCCAAAATGTAGTAGTGTGTATAATATGGGTATATAATAAATGTTTTAAATTTAATGTAAATAAATTAAACTACCATAATATACAAAAGTATAAAAAGCTTGATCCGCTCCTTTATATCCTTAGCCCTTTACCTGTACACCTGTATATAGATAATTAGTTACCTTAGGGCAGTTCAAAGGTTTTGGAGTGTTATTGGTTCTTATTGGTAGTTTGGTTGTTAAGTTGATTTTCATTGGTTTTATTCTTATGGTCATTGGTTTTACCGCCAAAATATTCATTCTTTGTCTTGTTGAGAAATGACCAAGACTGTATTTTATGGATTCCTATGACTTTGACTTTTGAACACCATTTTCTGGTAAACTAACTTTCCTTATTACTAATTGTCAAGTAATATGTCTATTCCATAGATTTGCATTTATTAAGATCCCAATTTCACTTTATATTAATTGAATGAATGACCATGAGAGAAAGATGTTATTTTTATGATTGGAATTATTGATTATAAAGATCAGTAATGTATTATATTATAAGTGTAAATTGTTATATTCAAGTTACACCATATATTTTTATGACCCAGATATTTGGTAACTTTGTTCAAATTGAACAGATGATTTTTATTTTAAAGGAATATAAATTTTAATGTATACTGTATTAAATTACAGAGTCCATATACATGTTGTGTAAAAAGCTGTAAACATCACACATTCATGTGGTAGCCTTTTCCCACAGAATGGTGAGGAATTATTTGTTTTAATTAGTATTATTTTTTTATGCCTTTATATGGGAGAAAATATGTAATGATCCATATATTGACTTTAAGAGTTATCTCCCTTAATTGAGAGTAAATGTACATATATACCTATCATCTATAATATATATCATTATGAATATGTTACTATGAAAACTACATGTATAGATGATTGATGATTGATTTGATGTGCTATTATATTGTTGTTTTATTATATTTCAGGGCTATAACATTTGTATTACATAAAGTGCTTACTGTGTCGAATAAATAAGACCTGAACCCTGACAGAGGCGTGTTTGTGTTCTTGATTACCACCCCCTGTTACAAAAATATCCAGGGAAGACAAGTTGATGATACAGGTACTTCAGTAGCTACTAGTACAGAAAATACTGATGTGAAGGAAACAGAAGGAAACAGAACCGTCTGTAGATGCACAGCAGCAAGCAGAGGCTGATGATGATGATTTGGATGATACCAATTCTGGGGAAAATTCAGCTAATGAGCAGCAGACAGTACCTAGAAGATCCCAGAGGACAAAGAAAACAACATCATGGATTAACAGTGGTAATTTTATAGTAAACCAACAGATTGCGAAATAACAACCACAGTGGGAGAAAAGGGCTCTGGTCGATACAATGACCTTGTCAGCAAAAACAATTTATCATTAAGTCAAATGCTTTTTTATATCGACTCTTAGGCCATTATTTACACACTGAGATGTTTGTTATTTCCCTATCATGAAAGTTATAAACATTGAAACTATTTCTGCATATAGAATGTACCCATCATTTTGGTCACAAAGTTTAACCCATGTATAAAAAGGTTTTAAAAACGACTTATGAAATATAGGATGCAAGATGACAAAGGGTTTCACAACAACCCCTAAAGTTGCATTTAGTAAATACAAAAATAAGGTGATCTGATCATTAGATCTAAATTAAAATCAAATGAATTTTAGAGAAATTGATTGATTTATGCATATGGTGAACTCCTGAAGAGACGGGACTTAATATAAAATGATGTGCTATAAATACTGCAGAAACACTCTTAATTTTGACATATAAGCAATTGACCAAATGCTTCATTAAGAGTGTCAGGTTCTAATAACTTTCAGGAATGTCTGGTTGGCTACATTCTTCGAACCGAGTTATAGTATGAATGAGGTTTCGTTTGACTGTTTTATTTTAGAAGCAAGGTCAGGTGAAGGTCATTATCATTTTCATTGTTATTAAGCATAAAAAATTACTTTTACCAATCATCTGAAGCCTTCTTACATTTTAAAAACTTAAACATTTTTCTGTTTTCATCAAAAGAGTTTACCTTAGAGGGTCTATTAGATGATGATAGTGAACAAACTCGACTTAAAAGCTTCTAATTAATTCTAATGGGAATGGAAAAGTGACACTGTGAGATATGGCCGTTTAAATAACCTTATTGGCACTCATGAAACCTGTGATATTTCAAACTTTGTCTATACAATGGATACTTGTGTGCAGTAGATTTATTCTGCTATATATGGAAACTTCATGCAATCAAAAAAAAAAAATGGATGGCCATTGACGCAAAATAATTTTTAACAACATGAAGCATTCTCTGGTAAATGATCCATATGTAACTGATAAATTGACTGTGTAATCCACAGGTGCTTGTTTCATACATTAATTTTTTAACCCATAGTATAATGAATATACCGGGTACACAAGGTATCTAACTCCAAATTACACTAAGTACCTCATCCTTGAATTTTTATTGTTTGTAATTTTCAAGATACAATAGTTTATGCTGTCTTATTATTCATGGTTTGTTTGTTTTTTGCTCTAACTATAACACCACTATAATTTTTTTTTAAATGTGTTTTATTTACGTCTCTCCTTTGAAGACTATAGTTATTCATTGTTAATTATATACACTATTATACATTTAAATTTTAAAACTATCTGTTATCAAACTTTTGGGTCCAACCTTTCCAAAAATGTTACAGAATACTATTCAGAATATTATTTAGTAAATAGTATTTCTTAAACTACCCATAATATTTTCTGAGACAATCTAAAGCTTTACAAGATACAATCCAAGACTATTCAGGATATCACCAAAGACTACACTGTAATATGTATTATCCAATCATTATCAGAGACCATCAAAAACAAGTTCCATTACAACGTTTTCTCCGTCCTGGCACTTGGTGCAAGTGTTTTATGAGGGGAAGCAAATGTAACAATTGTATGTATTTAGGCTTTACAATGCAGCCCTATGCTCCCCAGGGGAATGAACAGGAATAAGTCAAGTCAGGAATTACAACAATATAGGAGAAATTAATCCCTCTAGTCTCATATCACAATCAAACAAAACAAAACATTCACTTCTCTGTAGTGACAAGCACATACGAAATAAATTAGAAATTAATCATCTTCATGTTATTAATAATTATAGTTTTATTTTTAACAAATCTCAGCTGCCTTTGGAATCTATCTGTCCTATAGGATCAGTTTTACTGTCTTTGATTTCTAAGTTTGCTGCTGAACTCTGAAATCCTTTCTCCTTTGGTAGATGAATCTGTAGGACCTGGAAATGACTCAGTACATTTTGTATTTTCACCGGGTCTACTTTGTAATCCTCAGCTATGTCAGCTGCACTGTACTGACCTTTAGCTTCTGAGTATTTTCGTAACAGCTCCATCATTTGCATGAAGTTGACTTTTCCATGAGCTACTCGGTTTGGAATGTGATATCCATATTTGTCATAAGTACTCTCCACTTGTAAACGATTTTCTGGCAGGGGGCGATTTGATTTTGATTTAACCTGAAAGGAAATCAAAGATTCAAAGTTTTCATTCTCAAAAAAATTTTCAACCATATTTTAAACTATTTATCCTACTTCAGATGTTTACACTCTATTTCTTACACTGTTTCAGTCAGCTTCAGGACAAAATATAACTGCACGTGTAAAAAGGTACGTTGGGATTGATCACCTTTAACAAACCAGTCTAGTTTTCTTCACATCAAGCCACAAAGTTATCCCACTGATCCTAGTACTCCTAGCAATGCTTAGGGACACCATATAATCTCACATTACATATAACACATTTACATAATACAATCAAAATTGATACGAAATACTGATCTTTTATCAATATTTCAATGTTATAGGAAGAGGTCAAAATAATGATGGTAAGTAAACAATTTTTCTTATACTGTAAATCACTTTTTATTCGCGAGAACTTTATTTTCGCGTAATTTCGCGAGACGATGTGCTCGCGAAAATTAAATTCTTGCGAAAAATAGTATTCCTTAAGATTATATAGAGCAATAACCAGAATTCGTGAAAATTTTGTCTCGCTAATCAAGAGTCAATGACTATCTCGCGAAAATAAGGTGTCGCGAAAATTTAGTGATCTACAGTATTTCACATCCGTAGTAAGTATATACATATATTATTTCTGACCCCCAGACCTCTGTTCATACCTCCGGTGCTGATCCGTAAGATTCTAGGTACATTCCCTTCATTCGACTGTTTAACTGTTCATTCTTCATGAGGATTGATGGGTCAGGATTAGCTGTAAGCAATTAAAAACAAACACTGATTGATATCATCGATGGGTGCTTTAGATTTTCACTTTCTTAGAGAAAATTTACTGGCTGCATTACAAGTAAAATCTGCTACTTTTAACATCTGCATGTGCTACAATAATAAAGCAGGTCCAGTACAATCTCCTGATTTAGCTATATAACTTTAAATAGCTATACAGCATTATTAAGCTATTCAGAATAGCTTAATTTAGCTATTTTACCACACCTTTTTTCATTAAGTAATTTTCTCAGCATGTAGTATTGTACAATAAGTCACAACTTTGTGCAGTGATGATATTCAACCTTGAATTCTTCTGAAAATAATGCATGTAAAATCACTCATCAAATTATATCATTTTTGAAGAAGTTTTCCAATTATAAATTATTATCACAAATATGATATTTTTATCCATATGCCCTGAAAAACTGCTTAATCACGCCGGATATAGTTATATTTCACAGGAAACAATTATATTGCCTCCTGAACACAGTTACGTTCCCTCACATGCAATCATTCTGCATATTACATATGTCGGGTTCAAAATTCACAGCGGCAGTTGCTAAGCAAATGTAAACAGTTCCGCGAAAATTAAAAAGTCGGGACAACGTCTGGGATTTGTTTATTTGAATTCCGAGGAATTAGATCATTTAATTGAGGAGAAAAAATTCTGAAATACAACCAAGGTTATCAACACAAGTGTCAGTATACTGAAAACATTCTGCCATGAAACAGGACGGGATATTTCGGAATTATACTCAACGTAGTACTACATGTGTACATAGTGTTCGACAGATAAGTTCGATGATCGATTAGGGTTCAATGTGTATGCTGCCCTCGAAGCCATGTAATATATGTATAGTGTTTCCTTGAGAGACTTTGTACTCAAAGTTCTGTAAGTTTCAGTGCTATATAAAGCAATTTACTGTTACATCAGCAATGAAATTTTACAGGAGACCAATTATGGTCAACAAGAAAATTGATTGGTAATAATTCAGTACAATGAGAAACAATAACACTTATCAATGCCTAAACGCAGAGAGGGTAGTGGACAGTTACTCTGACAATAGAAATTTTTTTTGTGCTTAAAAGCGGTCCTACTTATAGGATAATGTAACAGTTTATTATAGTTTATCAGTAGTTAGTTACTACAGTTGTTATTATAGTTTTTTTTATTATTTTCAGACCTTGATCATTGCATTGTATGACACAGTTGATAAAGGAGGTAAAGACAAAGTCATTCAGTTGCTCGAGTGTTGTGATGAACCCCTAACCGCTGCTGGAACAGAGAGGATTGGGCCTGTCACACAGATTATGTGACTGCAATGAAACAGTAAAGTGTTGTAAATTAACTGAAAAAACAGTAGATAATGTATTAGCTGCCATTCGTAAACTTGCTGTTCATGAAGAAAACATAATGGTAGCCCGTGTGACATTACACATTACCGTGATGAGTCAGTCAGAAACTTTGGTGCACGTCTCAGAGGACAAGCTGGCATTTGCAAATTTGTGGTTGACTGCCAAAACTGTAACACCAAAGTCAACTACACAGATGCCATTATGCGCGATGTCCTCACACGAGGCGTTGTCGACCCTGACATTCAGTTAGACTTACTCGGCGACAAGAACCACAGTATGACTTTGGAGGAAGTATTTCAATTCGTTGAAGCGAAAGAAGCAGGGAAAAGATCAGCCTCAAGGCTTCTAGATTCTCATTTGGTTGAGGCAGCCAGCTCCTACAAAAGGTCCAAGAAAGTGCCGAGCAAAGAAAATCAAGACCTGTGTTCTTATTGTGGGAAACGTGGCCATGGCAAGAAAAGTGTGGCACAACTGTGTAAGACTCAGTGTCCTGCACATGGCCACAGGTGTGAACTTTGTCATCGAGATCACCATTTTGAGAGTGTCTGTCACAGCAAGGACAATCCAAAATGCCAAACACAGTCTAGGCAACACAACTATGACAAAAAAAAGTGCTGTATTTAACACTTTGTGTACACTGTACTCCCCTCAACCACAGCATGACAACCTACACACCATTCAACCCATCAATATGAAAGGACAACAGCAAACTATTCCTCTAGATCATCACATCTACGTCAGCATGACAGACACATGGTTTCGCAGAAACTCAAAGCCTTAGCCATTTGTGAACATTACTGTGCGAGCTCTTCCAGAAGATTACTCAGCCTTTGGAGTTGACCTGTCAACACCGTTAGTGCCCACCATTATTCCCGCTATGGCTGACACCGGTTGTCAGAGCTGCCTTGCCGGTCTTAGAGTGATTCATCGCATAGGACTATCTGAATCTGACCTTATCCCTGTGACAATGCGCATGCACACAGCTAACAACGATGGCATCAAGATACTTGGAGCCTCATTACTACGGTTCTTAAGCAAAGACAGTAGTGGTAGAGTGGTAGAAACGAGGCAGATGACATATGTTACAGACTCCTCGGACAAACTGTTCCTGAGCAGAGAGGCATGCGTACAGCTAGGTATTATCAGCGATAGGTTTCCAGTGGTACGGCCTTCATAATCCGGTACCGCAGCTGTCCATGAAGAGAACACTGCACCATGTGGATGTCCTAAATCCCAATCTCCACCTCTGCCACCAAGTGTTTTGCTATTTTCACCTACAGAAGAAAACTGCCCAAAACTACAGGAGTATCTCCTTGATTTATATAGATCCAGCATGTTCAACACATTTGAACATCAGCTTCTGCCTCTAATGGATGGTCCACCTATGAAGCTTATGGTGGATCCAAATGCTGAACCAGTGGTCTACCACACACCAGTACCTGTTCCAATACACTGGTGAGCAGCAGTAAAAGAAGGCCTTGTTCAAGATGTACGGTTGGGCGTGCTAGAACCAGTCCCCATTGGAGAACCCGTCAAATGGTGCCATCGGATGGTCATATGCGCTAAGAAAAATGGAAAGCCCAGACGAACGGTTGACTTCCAGGCTCTCAATGCACATGCCACATGTGAGACACATCACACACTGTCCCCATTCCTCCAAGCGCGATCACTTTCTAATGGGAAGAAAAAGACAGTGTTTGATGCATGGAACGGCTATCATAGTGTCCCACTCTATAAAGAAGACTGGCATCTGACAACATTCATCATGCCATGGGGAAGATACCGATACAAGACCGCTCCTGTTCCCACAGAATGGTGAGATTGATATGTTTTAATCTTCGATACTTTTTATGATTATTTTGGGAGAAATATGTAAAGATTTATATATTCGAGAATTATCTCCCTTTGATAATAATGAGTAAGATTTTGACGATGATGATCTAAGTATTATCTTCATGTTACATGTAAAGTAATGAACATTATGTATGTGCTATTTACATTCTATTTACTGTTGTTTTATGATATTTACAGGGCTATCTATGTATATCTATGATCACTCCACTGTGAATAAATATATTCAAAGAACCTGACAGGAGTTTATGTGTGTCATTGCCATACCCCTGTTACACCAGCATGATTTACAGTTTTGCATACTGACACTGTTATATTTCTCCAAGCTTACCGTATACGTCCTCGTGATCTTTCGCGCTTGTTTTGTGTTTCGGGGCCGCTCTTGGTTTATCCTTTTCCTTCTCAATCTGTTTCAGTGCACGTCTTTCAATGTCATAGTAGGCTCTCGGTCTTATGAACTTTCTGACAGACCCACCCATGCTTTTTTATGTAACTTTGATGTTTTACACAACGCTGACATTGAAAATTCACGCTTTATTTTCTATTTCCGGTTTTAACAGTTGTGGAGAAGTCGTTCTTCGAAGCATTCGCGATTGACGAATTATTCTTTCATTATGATTATATTAAAATCTTGAACAATAATTCTCGGCAAGTCTTTCGGGTTCTTAATTTTAGGACAATGAAACCAAAAGGACAAATCACATTCTAAATAAAATTTCTTCTTTAAAAAGGTTTTAAAAAACAAGATGTGTTTGTGAAACTCTGATTCCCCCGTATGGCAACATATCAAAGATGAAACTTTTCTTAAATGAAAATTTTTATTAATTGGTACCAAAAGTACCACGGTAGGCTAGAATATTCTCACTGAAAAACAATTGTGAAATTTGAAAGTAAGCCAGGCCGGAATTAAAAATATCTTTGTTTCCCCTAACCCGACCCTAAATTCTCAAGTTGGGTCGGTAGGTAGGTAAACATTTTTTTTTCTGAAAGCAGCTTAGAAATTCCATTTTAAAATTTAATGGAAAATGACCTTTATAAATAAGAAAATTAAAAAAAGAAAGCGATTTGTGAACAAAATGCTAAGTATCATACATGTACATATGCCGTTTAAAAGCAACCCAGATAGCATGACTCCGTTGGGCCAACGTTGGTTTTTGGTTGTATGGTTGGTGGAGTGTTGGCGTTGGGGAACAGATGTAGGCCCAACGTTGGTCCAACGTTCATTTACGTTGGCATGAAAGCTAAACCAACGGTGTTGGACATGTGATATTGGCCCAACGTTGGTCCAACGTTCATTTACGTTGGCATGAAAGCAAAACCAACGGTGTTGGGCATGTGATATTGGCCCAACGTTGGTCCAACGTTCATTTACGTTGGCATGAAAGCTAAACCAACGGTGTTGGGCATGTGATGTTGGCCCAATATTGGCCCATTGTGGTTACATGTTGACAAGAAACACAGCGATTTGGTGTTGGACATTAAGATGTTGGCCCAACATAGGTCCAACCGAGTAAATGTTGACATGGATTAAGACCATTGTGTGTTAAATATGAAATGTTGGCCCAACGTAGGTCTAAGTGAGTACACGTTAGTGGCAAAACATTGCCACTTATTGTTGGTTATTCAATGTTGGCCCAACGTTGGCCCAGCTCAATATATGTTGACAATATAATGATGCATTGCTCTGTGTTGGGCGTGCTTGACTGAACTGGAGTTGGTCCAATAGTAGGAATACTGGGATTACTAGTACATGTACAGGTAGCCTGTAATGTTTGAGATGAAATGCTGGTCCAACGTTGGCCCAATGTTGCGAAAAGTATTCATCAATTTAGATTTATCTATTGTAAATCGATGGTAATGTAATAAGCAACTCATTATAAACATGTGATCTATATTATATATTGAATGGAAATTATGAGACAATCCTTATAAGTCTGTGAAATACATATAGCAATTTTATATCTTGGTAGATTCTATATTTAGCATCATTGAATCAAATTTAAAGTGCTGTGTTTTGCAAGTTTTGGGCTCCAAAAAAAATAGGTCACTGGTGAAATTCACTGGCTCGGCATGTGACTCATAGGTCTCCAAGGAAACCGTCATCTTTAAATCAGTTTTTTTTTTAACCGCGCACTTTAACAGTGTCTGTTTAAGTGAAAGCAAGAATAGAATTTTAATCCTTTCAATGTAAGTATAGCTTTTGTTTTTGTTATTGAAATAATTAATAATGTGAAATACACAACATTGTAATGGCCTGCATGTAGGCTTTCAAATTATTGGTACCAGGTAGCTGATTAAACAATTGTAATTGATGACGACCTTAACTTTTATAGGAATTGGCCGGCTTGAACAGAGCAGATATGTCCGGATCTGTAAGTGAACGCAAGAATATTAACCAGTGAAATGTAAGTAACTATTTTGTATTTGTTATTAATAATTACTAATGTGAAATTCAATTTTAAGGATTGCTTTAAAAATATGTGTGATGCTGATGAACATTTGAAAATACTATTTTAATTGATGATAATCTTAACGTTTGCCGGAATTGCCGGGATGGAAAAACCCTCTTCACTCTGAGACTATTGATGTGGCATTTCTGTATATGGAAGGGACTGATTTATATGTGTGGGAAACATGGATTCTAAGAACAGATAAACAACAGAAAAGTGATAAGTGACGCAAATATGACCTTTCAAAACTCTACAGTTAGAACTTGAAGACTCTTATATCAGTGATATTTAGTAGTGGACATAGTGATGTGGAGTGTACTTGAGAAACATTGAACTTTCTACCTCTTCCTTCTTTTAGTTACATTCCATGGAATACTTTAATGAAAGTGAAAGTGGCAAAGAATATATTGTGATACATTTTAGGAGGAAAAACGTATTTGACCAAACATGGTGAAATTAATTGTGTCGTATAATCTGGGAAATAAAAATTACAGAATTTAATTAATTTTGTAAGACATTTGTATTGAGGAATAATTGTGTCATTGATGTTTCAAGAAACAGCTTTGTATCAACGTTGAACCAACGTAATAACTATATTTTGAACTGAGGTACAATGTAGGGCCAACGTTACAAAATATTTGGTTAGCATCGGTACGTTGGAATAGCGTTGTACCAACGATGGCATTTCAACAAAAGCGTTGTACCAACGTTGGACCAACGTCAGACCAACGTCATGATTATATTTTGAACTGAGGTCCAACGTTGGGCCAACGTTAAAAAAATATTGCGTTGGCGTTGGTATGTTGGAATAACGTTGTACCAACGTTGACAAATGAACAAACAGTATTGTACCAACATTGGCCCAACATATTGGGCCAACGGCGCGCCAATGAGCAGTAAGACATTGGGCCAACGTAAAACTGCCAACATTGGCCCAACATAACCGACATTGTTGGGCCAACGTTGGGCCAATGTCCTCATGCTATCTGGGAAAATTCATGATTAATTCACAACTGTTATTCAGTTGATCTTTTTAAATATCTCACGCTAGAGTACATGTATATAAATCGAATAATAAATGACAAGATTCTCAAATACGCAAAGACCGGACATCCGAGTATATTTTTTCAAACCTTCCATCAGCCTCCAGTGCTTATAGACAATCAATGTACTTCTTTGAGGGCCATGAGATTTGCAGTGGTTCTAGAGCATTTAGCTTTGGAGTGGCTAATGTCAAGTTCAAATCCCAATGAGGAACGTTGAATACGGTCCTTCAAAGGGGGCCATAAAACTTATGTCCAGTGTCGCAGAAGACGCTGACTCAAAAGAGATCCCTCACTGCTTAGTTAATGGCAAAAAAGTGCCGTGTACGTATAAATTTGGAGCAATGGAGGAATGTTCAAATGTCGTCCCAACGAATCTCGAAGGGATTAAAAGCAAAGAAACAACCAATCTTCAAGGGCCTAATTAAAGAAAAATACACTGGACGTCTCAGGAAGCTGGATCATGATTTCAAAACTATTTGGAAAGAGTATGTAAACAATATTTAATTGAACCAAACCGAATTTACAAATGATATAAATGCTACAATGTATATACAATGTCATAGTCACGAAGGTTAACCAATATATAAAGGCATGAAGAAAAAAAATCAAATCTGGTCGCCAATTTGTTTCCAACAAATGCTTGAAAATCACAGCAGTACAATTGCAATGTCGGCCGTTCTGATAAAAACTGATTTTGATGAGATTGTATTTTATAAAAATTGGTTAACAATAAAAAAAAATAGTTGAATCATCTTATTTAAAAAATCTTTTCAGTCGGCGCGATTTAATTGGGTCGGTCGTGTTAGGGGAAACAAAGGTATTTTTTATTTTAGCCCCAATGTTAATTTTTTTTTTTCAATTAGTACAAAAATCTCCAAGGTCAAGGTCAAAGTAATTTGGTATCAAATGAAAGGTCTTGCCACATAGAATACCTATGTAGAGCATGAAAGCCCTAGCCTTAAAAGTTAAGAAGTTATAGCCAAGGTTAATTTTTTTTTTTAAAAAATAGGTCAAACTCCAAGGTCAAAGTTCATGTTATGAAATGAAAGGTCTTGTCACAAGGATGAAATATGAAAAGTATGAAAGCATTAGCCATAACCTTTTAAAAGTTATGGTCAAGGTCTAATTATTTAAAGTAGGTCAATCTCAAAGGTCAATGCCAAAGGGTCAAAGTTCTTGGTATCCAATGAAAAGTCTTCTCACATGGATTACATATATAAAGTATGAAAGCCCTATTCCTTACCGTTCAAAATTTATGGCCAAGGTTAAAGTTTTTTCACAAGTAGGGAAATCTACAAGGTCAAGGTCAAACGGTCAAGGTTGTTGGTATTCAATGAAAGGTCTTTCAACGAGGATTACATATGTGAAGTATAAATGTCCTGGTATCTACTGTTTAAAAGATATGGCCAAAGTAAAAGTTCAAAATTTTCATGTAAAAGTGGGTCAAACTCCAAGGTCAAGGTCAAAAGGTCAAATTTGATGGTACTCAAAGAAAGGTCTTGACACAAGGAATACACATGTGAAATATAAAAGTCATAGCTCCACTAAATCAAAGTTATGGGCAAGGTTAAAGTTTTTGCGGACAAACAGACAAACAGAGAGACAGACAAACGAAGAGACAGACAGATAGGCGGACACGACAAAAACTATATCCTCCCTAAACCTCGTTTACGGGGGCATAAAAATGGGACAGATTTTGGAAATAAATATTCTCTCCTTGTAAATTTTGAAAACAAAAAAATTAATATTTCCTTCACTGATATTCATTTTTATGCCCCGTAAACGAAGTTTTGGGGGTATATAGTTTTTTGTTGTGTCCGTCCGCCTGTCTGTCTGTCTAGCTGTCTGTCTGTCTGTCTGTTTGTCCGCAAAAACTTTAACCTTGCCCATAACTTTTGATTTAGTGGAGCCATGGCTATCATATTTCACATGTGTATATCTTGTGACAAGACCTTTCTTTGGGTACCACAAAATTTGACCTTTTGACCTTGACCTTGGAGTTTGACCCACTTTAACACAAACATTTTGAACTTTTACTTTGGCCATATCTTTTGAACAATAGATACCAGGACATTTATATTTGACATATGTATTCTTTGTGGAAAGACCTTTCATAGGATACCAACAACCTCAACCTTTTGACCTTGACCTTAGAGATTTCCGTACCTATGAAAAACTTTAACCTTGACTATAATTTTTGAACAATAAGTACTAAGGCTTTCATACTTCACATATATAATCCTGATGAAAAGACCTTACATTGGATACCAAGAATCTTGACCCTTTGACCTTGGCGTTGGAGTTTGACCTACTTTTTACAAACTTTAACCTTGGCCATAACTTTTGAACGGTAAGGGCCAGCGCTTTCATACTTCCCATACATAATCTTTGAGACAAGGCCTTTCTTTAGAACCCAACAACATTGACCCTTTGACCTTGACCCGGAGTTTGTCCTATATTATAAAATGTTAACCTTGGTCATAACCCTGGAACAGGTGTACCTAGCGTTTTATATTTCGCACTTCTTGTGAAAAGGCCTTACTTTGGTACCAACATATTTGATCTGCATTTGAGAAAGCTTAACCTTCGCTATGTTGCCATACGGGGAAATCAGTGTTTCATAAACACATCTTGTTTGGGTTGTTGTTGTTGTTGTTGTTGGTTTTTAAATTTTACACACGCAAAATCTGCTGCATTTAAATCCTGGGTATAATACAGTAACTCAGTGTAATGTGACTTACAGAGCTATTCTCAGTACTGGAATGAGGTACTCTGAAATGAGAGCTTCCCCAATGCACAGGAGTATGCATAGAACACCCCCGCCCCTCCCCCCGTCTCCTTTCCATTTGTTTTTCTTTTTAATCTGGCGTCGACTATAACCTTTTATCTCTATAAACTATTTTGAAATATATCGTAAAAACAGATTATGTATCAGTTGAAAATGATATACCTTATAGAGACAAAAGGGTTACATTATCCATAACATATGGTGCCTATTAGAATACAAAAAAAGAAAAATTTGACTCGATCCCAAATTTTTAAAAATATGGAGAGAGTTCATAAAGTCCTAGTGCCTGTGACCCAGTGTTGTTAAGATATTCTGTTTCAAAGTAAAAATCATTGATCAGCTGTATCTATTTATATAATTTTGTCAAGTTCTGTTTTCGTTAATCAACTTTTAATTGATCTCAAGTATGCATAAAATAGGGAGAGAGCTAAAATAGGCTTTGGCTGCTGCCCAATCCCTTTCACTTTTATTTGTGAATAAAATTTTGTATAAGTAAAAAAATAATAATAATTGTGATTATCGTTTGATTTTGCTAGTTTTCTTTAACCTGCAAACTTGGGCATTATGACATACAGGTATTCGGTGCACACCTATTTCTGTATTTGTTTCCAAGTTTGATGATTAATTATGCTCTCCTAAAATTGTTTTTAAAATTTAGTTTTGTATTTGAATCTATCTTATATAAGGCAGTAGGATTCGTAACAAATTATTTGGGAGGGGGTGTATTCCGAGGTGTTTCCTTGTCCAGTCTTGGCGCCCTATAGTCACACTGAGATCGCCCCGAAACTGAACGGGTTTGAAAAGTTATTGGTGACAATGAATGTTTATAATACGAGTGTGAATATCAGAGTTATCTCTCTTAGGTCGTGAAATCTACCTTTCTAATCAGAAGGGGGGGGGGGGGGGGGTATCCTCCCGCTACTTCCGATGACTAATGCTGTCCACAGCCCATGAAACATCTTTAACTTTTATTTTGGTCATATTTAGTTTCTTTTTTTTTTCTTCTTAAAATTTGTCAGGACCCCCCCCCCCCCCAAAAAAAAATGTTCAGTTATAATAACGTTTAATTCTATTCGTTTATTTACTTATTCATTTCATTTTTATCTATTTTTTAATTGTTTGGCTTATCAAGGACTGAAGCTGAAAATAATGGGTTGTGCCCCACATCTCCCAACCGGGCCTAAACTGAAATTGCTTCCTGGGGACCTATATTGTAGAGGTCTTGTTTTCTTTTCTATAGTCGTCTCATCCCACCCTCTAAATTCGATGTCATGTGCTGAAATTGTAAATCAACTTGTGAATCAAATGCAATACACACGGTTTGTATATTCATACTTTAATTAAAACAATTTTTAATTCAGAAGTTGCACTTCATATATACGGTCAAATGTTTTCCATATTATTCATTTCTTTCCGCATGTAAATCTTGCCCTAATGTACTCGTTTTTTGTTTAACGAATTTAATATGACATCCTGGGCACATGACATTATATAAGTCATAACCACAAAAGTAAGAAAAAAAATGAAATGTTTTCTTTTTGTATTAATTATTTCAAAATATTGCGATTTATCCTTCAGATTTTAGAATTACAGTTTCTGTATTCTCTGTGACTCGCAAATGATGGTTTTATATTTTGCTTTGACATCAACAAGATAGGTAGTCCTTATTTAAAACGACAAAAACGATGACGTTTTAGAACGTCACGGAGCAGCAGATAACGATGCCATTTTTATTTTACTCAGGAAAAATCTTGGATAAACTCTAAAAATGTTGGAGGAATCAAGAAAATTGTCACAAGCAAACTGTGCATGTGTGTAATTAATGTCTTTTATCATGAGAAGTAAGAATTTAATAAAAGTTGACATCCTGGCGCACATCCTGAAAGCATTATATAAAACCTAACAAAGGAAATTATACAACGAGAGCAGTTCTTAAAAAATAAATGTCATTATAATTTGTCTATAATCCATTTGATTTTAAAATGTAAATTGATTTCTGAATTTATTTTTACATATTATAATGTGCTTATTTTAAATTTCTAGTGAGTAATATAAAGAGGATTGACATCGTCCACGAACTTTTCGAACAACCCTCGTATAATTTGAGTGTTGAATTTCAGTTTAATATAAAACGAAATGAAATGGATAACTCTTTGTCTCTTAATATTTGTCCTATTCCTTTATCATTTTGTAAAATGTGCCATCCATGCATACAATCTGTGTTGAATACAGGCGGCCGAAATAGTTCATAATAGTTAGGTGATTTTTAGGTGTCAGCAAAAATAGTTAGTCTATAGTTAGATCTATTTACTTTTTACCATATATTTACCATATATTTAATTTCAATAGTGCCCACCAAAACATCTAACCCAGAGGCCATGAATTTCACAATTCTGGATGAGGATTCAATGCTCATTTCAATCATACCAATAGTTTAGCTACTTGATGTTCAGAAGTAAAGAAGATTGCTATAATTTTGATGATGGTTTAAGCCCAATAACTCTGCCCTCACGCCCTGGGAGGAGGAGGAAGGGGAGGGGGGGGGGGGGTAGGGAAGGGACCATGAAATTCACGATCTTTGATCGCCTTCATTTATAGATACAACTGTACCATATGCTAAAATCGGTGGAATGGTTTGTTTCAGAGAGGGAACTGAAAATGTTCAAATGCTTACTTACATGTACAATGCACAACAACAGACTAAAACAGAAAGCAATAGGTCATCACCTGAGTGACTCATTGGACATAAAAAATATATATAAGAACTCCAGAGAAAGCATAGACTGTATAATAAAGTTAAATACACCATAACAAAAGTCAATTTTTTATAGTTTATTTGAGAATATTGCCAGTATATTTTACATATTCCCTTTACAATTTTGTTTAGTTCTATACATACCCTCAGACAATAATCGTGGTCAGACATTTTAGTTTTACACTGTACAATATATACACATTTGACCACATCTGTACATTCCCAGGATGCTTTGCATTCAGCTCTGTAGATAAATATAAAACGCTTCTATACAGATAATGCACCATATCATTCAACAAAAGCTCTAAGCTTTTTTGTAAAATATTATATATCACACTTTACAGAAACAGTGGTAGGATGAGTATTTACAATGATAATGAAGTTAGGGGTGGGGGTACAGAGTTGTTCAAAAGCAGTCAACATTATCTGTACACTCACATCTAATGCCCACTAATGCTCACTTAACCCCCCTTAAAAAACTGAAGTAACAAAGTCAGTACAACTCTCCCCTCTCCCCCAAGAGGAGGGGTCTTAAAATAAAGTCTCAAAAACAACAGATTAAATGCTCTCTCTCTCTCTCTCTCTCTCTCTCTTGATTGCTGTTTAACAATTAATATTTTAAAAATAACATGAAAATTCATGCTTCAGCACTTCAATAAAGATTCAATCAAGATTCTTGAAAAAATTCCAAATTCTTTCCAAAATAAATTTAATATAAGATACTCAGAATTATAAAGATATACACAAAAGCAACTTCACTTGATGACAGAAAAGCACCAAGAAGCTATGTGCAGTAGTCACTAACCAAAACGATACAAAAAATTCAGTCTTCAAGAATGATATGTAAGATTCCCACCCCTTTTTGTAATTTTTCAAAACTAAAGGAGTTGCATCCCTTGACCATAGGATCATATGACTTTACTGCATATCACATGACAGTCCTCCCCCCTTTGAATATTATACTTGCTTCATGGTTCAAATCATTCCAAACACTCAAATCATCCCAATCATTTTATATTATTCCATGAAAAATGAAATAAAATATCACTACTGTACTGATCAACAATTAATAAATTTAGATGAAATATATATATATTATTAAGAAAAACATTTTTGTACAACCATGCTGTATGTTTCAATTAATAGCATAACCCTGTCCAATCATGATCTAGTTTATACATTGTACATCACTAGAATTACTACATACAGTATACAGAAAAAAAAAACATTTGAAAGACCTTGATTAACAATTAACTTCTTGTTAATAACGTACTAAATGAAAGACATCACTTTATAAGTGCACCCTTTTTTATTCAAAGAGGCAACTAGTCTGTATTAATAACCCCAGTCCTTTCCTGTTACTCAAAACAAACAAATCTCGGCTATACACTGTATCACTGCTTTCATCACAATTAAGTCTACGAAACTCAACTTTGTTCTCATTGCATAAAATATAAAGAAAGGCATTTATGTCAAAATTTTAGAATGCTTTTATAGAAAAATTCAAAGAAATTCTTCTTCTTTAAATATTATTAACAATATAAAAACTTCAGTAAAATTTGAACATTTTTCTGGTAAAATATAACATTCTATAACAAGTAATAATTCAGAGTAAGTAAAGCACTGAAATATTGGGGATTGTTTCAAAGAACAAAAGCACTCAAATCTTCAGGTGCTATCCCTGACAAGACTCAGAACGAGAATAGCTATAGAGAGCTAATTTCTGGTCACACCGGCAATGCCAGGTATCTGATGGATGTACCTATACGACATGAAGAGTTATTTCTGACATCACTGATATCAGACAAGAACTGGATGTTCCTCGTAATCACACACTAGACATTCCTCAATATCAGACATACACAGGGGCGCTAGAGGAGTCTTTACTGTTAGGGGGGGTCTCATTTGGATCACAGACGGGGGGACAGGGGTCTTCCTTCATTGACGGATACGGATGTCCTCCATCATCGAAGAACCTTCGGAATGTAAACTCCAGGAAAGCGTGTTCAGGATGTTTGCCATTGATCGGGTGATCGGGCTTCTGCATTTCTTCTTCAGAATCATCATCAAATTTTCCGTCGATTGGGTCAAAGTACGACGTGTCCATGGCATGTTTTATCTTAGGTTTCCATGGAGGCTGTGACTTACGCAGTCCTTCGAAATTAATGTTTTTGAAGTAGGGGTGTTTTTTGATTTCGGTGGCTCCGTTTCGTCCGAGGCGTTTTTCGGCACTACAACACAGGTTAATGATGAGGTCCTGGGCAGCCTCTGACAGGTTAGCTTCTGGTGGAATCTTCAGGGTCTCGTCCCAGTGAATCACCTACAGATACAGAACAAGTGACAACGTCAGTAAAGGAATGACAAACACGATACACGACATAGTGACAATGTCAGTAAAGGATTGACAAACACTGATACACAACATAGTTACAACTTCGGGCAAATGTCAACGAGTGTACTGAATTACCAATAACATTGTCTCAACTGGCAAAAAAGTGGAGCTTAAGTCATCTCATCGTTGTCAACAACATTTTAAAGTTCCTGGTGTTATAATTTCTCAACCAATGAGAATCTATTCGCCATTTGACAGACGCTAATTTCATAGAACCAAGAGTGCCACGCGGTACTGAAAGTCCAAGCTTAACTGAGAATTGTCCTAATACTTAAAAAGTAAAATCTTGTTAAACGTGATCTTTTTCTGACTCCATACCACAGTAAAATGTTATAACTGTAATAGTTGCAAATTACCATAAAAGGTATCAAGTTTTTATTTATATTTTTGATAAGGTTGAACACCCTCAGCTCACTTTGAGTAGGAAAGTGAGATTGAATGGATTACTTTAAAACAGATTTTATAGTTTCCAGTACAGTACGTGAGAAGTGAGGAAAACTAACATCACTTTAATGAATCACTTGAGGAAGACTTAAAAAAAAATTTGTATCTGTATCTCAAAAACAGAATGTCCTTGAACTTTCACATCTCTAGATTCTGAAGCAACAAATGTTGTTGCTGGGTTCCTGGCATATTCAGTAACATCATATTCTTCTATCAAACACTGTATGAGTAATAGACATATGCATGTTGTGGTAAGGTGTGTGGGCATTGTATTCTGGTGTTCTTGCTTTTTGTAACAAACACAGCAGACTGACATAAAGATGTTATCTAGCCATGCTAGAGAAGAAAATGCATTCTATAACAAAATAAGGAAGATGTGTATCCCCACTAATCCCCTCTCCCTGTAGTCCTGTTAACATTATATAAACACTCTACCTCAGTAGGCCGACAGACTCAGGTTTTATTGACACAAGCATTGTATGTAATCAGCAGTATCAGATAAGGAATTCAAAGAATGTCCTATAAACACATACATACCGTACTTATCATGATAAATCACCCCCTTACAGCAATGTCACACATACATACCGTATCTATCCTAATAATAACTCAATAATAACCCCAGCGAACAACCTACCGGTATTAATTTTAGACAGAATATGACCAACAGGCCTTCCCCATTCAAAAATATCCCTCCTTAGCCTGAATCCCTTCAACTAATATGTTCTTACTACATTATACATGTGTATAAATTTAATTGCAATGATGAAGAAAAATAACAAAATTGTTCTTTCCAAAGTCCCATGTCAATAAAGTGCACTTTGAGCTCCTTATGTGAGGGCAAGAATGGGATTTCGTTATTTGAAATAATATGATTGATCATCAAAGGTAATTTGAAAGAAAACAAATTAAGACAATGTGGATTTAACACTTTGTGGTAATTGATCACATGACAAGAAGACAAATGGTAGAAGGTTTGTGACAGGGAAGCGTTAGGTACTGTATTAATGACAGAATTCTAAAGGCTCTTCACTCAAAAACAGGGGTCAAAGTTCACAAAAACCGGGACAATAATGAAATGGCTCAGACATATAATCTCATTCTCAAAACTCGAATTCTGATCTTGGGGGCCACCAAAAACTTTTTTTTAAATCAACGCCACTTGCCTATTTTTAATAAACTAAAATATTTTTCATACAAAATTTATAAAAGGGAACATATGACCTCTGCCCTTAATTTGAGGGTAAAATAAAAATCAGAGGTTAGAAAAATGATTGACTTCAACCCTTTCGCATGATGTAAACTCACAATGCCCCATATGGCCATATCATAGATCATCCTCATATAGATGTCTATGTTTTGATGTGAACTCACAAGGGTTATTGCCCCTGTAAAATCAAATTTAATTGAATTTAAGGAATTTTTCTGCTCTGAAAAATAATCTCACCTTCCATTGGGTTTCAGCAGGAGTATTTGCATAGAAGGGAGGTTGTCCAACTAACATCTCATAAAGTATGACTCCTACACTCCACCAATCACAGCATGAGGTGTAACCTGAAGTAGCCAATCAAAAATCAATATACAGCTCAAAAAAAGTTTTAAAATAAGGTGCTGTTTACAACTATAAAATTTGATCATACATTGGCATGACACTTTGTAACATGAAATACACATTTCAATACATCTTATGTTTGACTTTGATCTTACCAAGTATACCAAAAATATTACCAAATATTCAACATGTCAAATCAGTCTACTACTGTATTGGGCCTGTCAACAACTTCTGGTATCATTTTTCATGTTTTTGCTTTTTAACTCTGAATCAAGCCCCTTCCCGTCTTCCCACAACATTTACAGCAAGATACAAAGATGCTGCTAGGTGAATCAAAGGAGACATCCTTTTTAAATTTTTTTTTAAACACAAATATTTACAAAACAGTTCTATTCAAAGGAATAAATCAAATGATTCCACGAAAAATATTCCATCAATTAGATCCTCCAAGACCATAGATATATAAAATACATTATTACTATCTAGAAATATCAGCAATATTTGGGCGAGGGTAAGAAACTTGATAGAGGGCATGGCTTGTCAAAGTATTGTTTATATTTCGAGTCATTTATCATAGTTTTACATCTGACCTTCAAAACAAGCTATTTTCAACAAATTTAAGCATTTTTTGCAGTTGAAACTATGACAATGCAATTTTGATGACATCGCAATGTTTCTAAAGATATTGGAATACTCTTGACAAGGCTATATTAGGACATTGACAAATATGATTTTGGCTTATTGGGTTATCTTTATTTGGTCAATACAAGCGGTGGTTGTAGGATATAACTACTAACAGCTCTATAAAAGACAGGTTCATAAAAACAATCAGAGAACCTCCCTCAAATAACCTACCAGCTAAAATATCTAGACAAAATTCAATCTAATTATCGAACAGAGTCATTGTACAATACATACCTCAAGCACACCCCAAGAAAATTATCTCAATATATAACAATTCATGATTTCTCAGTGCATACTCATTTTTTTCCCTAAAGCTGATATTACACAGACTATCTCAGAGTGATGGATACTGAATCAGAAGACCAACTTGAGATATCACACTGATGCTTACCTTCTCGGAGTAGCACTTCCGGTGCGATGTAATTGGGCGTCCCGACCAGTGAGTGAGCGAGGCACCTGTGTCGTTCCCGCTGGCGACGTCGCTCCAGTGGTTTGAGTATTTCATTACAGCGGCATTCTATTTCCATTGCACAACTAACATCCATGGAGTCCTGGCGAGGATGAAGTCCATCTACAAAATTACAATGAGCACAAAATTACAATCAGCGCAAAATTACAATCAGAGCAAAATTACTATCAGAACAAAATTACAAATTACAAAATATCTAAACCCATCTACATAAAAGTCATAGCTAAATCCAGACTATAAATTTGAAATGAAACATTGTATCAGAGGAATCTCCGAAAACGGCTGAAAAACCACAACCTTGTACAGTGAAACAATGTTAAAAGTCATAGTCAGGCAAATTTAAAGTATGAATAAGTCACAAATGTAAATATAAGTAATAAGGTATCATTTTAAAACATCTATCAGGGTATAAATACGGGTTGGTATGAGATTAAATTCATCATAACGTCCACAGAGGACAGATGATACAAACAAACTTTTGTTAAAAAAATTGGAAATGACAACTTGAAAGATGTTTAAATGAGTAAAATGAATAAGTTTTACCACGTAGTTTTTAATGTTTTATTCAAATTTTCACAAAAACGGGATTTGAAGTGAAAATTATTTATAGATAATTAAGGATGGTTTCAGACAGGCAGAATTTTGAATATCATAGAAGGTTTACATTTTCTTTATATTCTAGAATTTATTATTTGAATCATTTGCAATGAAATTAGGCCCAAAAATATATACCAATCCATGCATCCATTTTTTCGTTTGTATCATCTGTCCTTAAAATGATACATTATTTCTTAAATAAATGTATAATGTACCCTTGTAATACAATATTATTTACCCCTATAATACAATATTACATACCCTCGTAATACAATATTACATATCCCTGTAATACAATATTACATACCCTGTAATACAGGGATATGTAAGGTTACCCTTGTACAGCAAAACTCGGTTATAACAAACTCGCTGGGACCTATGAAATTACTTCGTTATATCCATAATTTGTTATAACCCTATGAGAAATTCATTAAATTTATATAGCTGGGGATCCAAGATGACTTCGCTATATCCATAAATTTGCAATATAAGTGTTTGTACTAAACAAGTTTTACTGTAATACAATATTACACACCCCTGTAATACAATATTTAGTACCCTTGTACATCTGTACTTGTTGTAATACATTACAAACTTCTGTAATAAAATGTAACATCATGTACCCTATTGTAATATATTACATACTTCAGTAATAAAGCATTACATACCCATAATATAACATACCCTTGTAATATAAGATTATGCACCCTAATGTAATATATTACATATTTTCCGCAATAAAAAATAACATAACCTTGCAATATAATATCATGTACCCTAAATGTAATATATATATCAGGGTTCTCCACATTTGAAAATTTAACCATGGAGGAAGCTGCCCAAAGGCGAAATGTGACCCAAAACACTAATGCATCTTAGACTTCCTAATCTTCATTAATCAATGATTGGTTTTACAATTTTTAAACTTACCCACTGCAACACAAAACAATGAAATAAATAACTTTGCAAAGTTAAAAAAAAAAATAATTAATTTGAAAAGGATTTATCGTGTATCTTACTTCACAAATGTACCAAGATTTGACCAAAACTGTTGTAACTTTCTGAAGGAATTTAAAGAAAAAATATTGATACAGGTAGCCAGTAACCATGGCATAAAATTAATAATTAGAAGAATTGTAACCTGTTGTATGAAATGTTTTGTTTCAATATGACTAACACTGATGAATGGGTAGTTGTTGTTTTTTTTAAGTTAGCACTCAAAAGAACATTTGGACCAGAGTTTTGTTTACTTCTCCACGTGCCCAGAGCTAAAAATAGCGCCACGCGACGTTTCATAACAACGGGAAGTAACTCTAAAACTAAGACTAAGACGGCGATTAAGACATAGGCCCTATGCACATTTTTATCAAAAAGATAATAAAGTTAAAGCTTAAAAAACAGAGCATGGGAAATTGATTAAATACAGAGGAATATGAAATTTTTTTAGTGTATTTTTTTCTGGCACAGGAACTTAAATCGCAAGCATGACGATTATTGTGCTCGTAATACCGTACAGGTATTGTATTCTTTTATAAACCCGTTATACAGTATATCTAATCATGTAGTGAACATGTTGAAGTTCCCCAAAATTATTTACATGTGTACAGGATAATTAATTCTCAATAATTGATCATCTGATTGACTCTACATTGATTGTCCCGCTTCACAGCATAGTCGCTGATAAACCGTTGTTAACTTAATAACAACGTGTTTGTTTAGCGCAGTCCGCTTTTCTTCGAGGCATGCGAGGTGCACGACAGTCAGAGTATAAACACAATTAACTACTCAAGTCATTAAAAAAGTAGGTGTCAGGACTGAAATGCAATAAAATTTAACCATGGAGGCTGCCGATTTTAACCATGGCGCAGCTCGTTTAACCATGGCGCACATAAATTTAACCATGGCGGGCCGCCATGGTAAAACCCCTTGTGGAGAACCCTGTATATGACACACTTCCATAATAAAACATACATAGTTACCCTTGTAATATATTACATCATTTACCCTTAAGGGCTGTATTACAGTCTATGCGAAAGTCACCGGACCGTCGGTTTTTACCGGTAAAATTAAGGTCGGGTCGGTAAAAAATTTCAGTATACAGCACCAAATGTCCGATAGAAAATAAGGCCAAATAAATCTAAATTAACAGGTACACGTGGTCAAATTCCCCACAAATATCCTTTATTTGACCAATTTAGCAGTAAAACCTGATTAATTTTTATGTACATTACAACCCTGTCATGATCGTTTTTATTCTAATTCGAATTTCCTCTGTCAGGGATTAGAGATCTTTAGATAGCTCATACGTAGATTTGGTTGGGAAAATATTTAGATAGCTCATACGTAGATTCGGTTGGGAAATTATTTTCAAATGATCATAGAACTTGAGTAACCATAATGAATTGTTTCAGGAAAATTAAATATGCATTGAAAGTGCATATTAGATTTAAGAAAATCTTTGATACAGTGTATCTTGTATAAGTCAAATATGAAGAAAAAAATGCATGCAATTGTATAAATAGATACCTTTTACAAAGGAAAATTATAAATATTTAACTTGTCTATTTCACTCTGAATCTACTTAAGGTTAAATTTCATAGTGAGAATTAACCCCATCCCACACACCCTCTCAATCTCAGTATCATTATGATGTATGGATTTAGAGGGGGAAAAAAGTCGGTCTGGTAAAAAATTGTTTGGTCTGGTAAAAATTTTATTTTTACCTGACATTTTGTCCTGTAAAAATTTTAAACTTTCGCGTAGACTGGTATTACATACTTTCATAATAAAACATTACATATATATACCCTTGTTTAACAACATTATGTACCCTACTAAATATTATTGTTGTAAAACATCCCATTCTCTTGTAAAACAACCTTTATGTCCTCAGATCAAAAACTGAATACATGTTCAAAAAATCAATGAAACAATTACATCAAACTTCTTATCTCAATTCAATGAAACCATAAAAAACAAGAGATGTTTGTAAAACACATATGCTCCATTTCTTCAAATAATTGAAATATTTCTAAGTCTAATGGGCATAACTCAGTCCAAAATGGCTCAATTGTATCCAAAACAAGACTTGAACTAGATATTCTTATGATAAATCTGTATACCAGATTTCATTTCAGTGTGTGTAACCATTGCAAAGAAAATGAACCATCGGATACTTGGATAGACGGATAGACTGACAGACCAACCAACCCACAGAAAGACACATGCAAGCAAAGCAATATGCCCTCCCTTCTTCGATGGAGACATAAAAATATCCAAGGATTTAAGATTTATCAAGAATAAAATATTTATAGGAATAAATGATGGGAACTTCTAAATCACTTCAACATATCAATGGTATCAATAAGCTATCAATGTGTGGGATACCTGAAAGTTCAACTTGATTTCGATTTTTATTTTTAAAATGTTTAAAAATTCAACTACATGTACAAGTTGAAAGTCAATGAACTTAAAAGCTATGTAAAAAATTCAAGTGTTAGTAAAAAGGTCATTAACACATTAAACTTAAAATAACATTAAATTTTATCAAGTGTCATTCACAAGGGAGGCAACATGAGATTCCAACTGTCTCCAAAATAACAGATGATGTTTTACTGTATATTTAAGATTTAAATATGTTTCCTCCACTGAAGAGACTGTTTAAGGCTCCCATTCCTCCATAATGCCCAACTATATTTTATTCACAAAGACATGTTATGCATTTTGCGGTTTACTTTTTTCCTAAATCTATTGGGTTCTTCATGTTCATCATTTGCCCACTTTTTATTTAATATTTACCCTAGTGTCTTACAGTTGCCAAAGTTCTACTATCTTAACCTCTATCTAAATAAATACCAAGAAAGAATTTCATGTCAACAGACAAAAATTAAGTACTTTAAAATCATGACACGGCCCCCCTGTGGTGCCATCTGAAAGAATGTTTGTTTACTTTTTCAGGTAGTTAGTAAAATCCTTTGTTATCATTAACAAATCATTAAGTTTGATATTGGCAGATATAGCCAATGTCAGAGAGGGTATACCTGGTATATATTACAGTCTAAAGAATCAACTGCTACAGATTGCTAACAAATGTCTGAACTCTCAAAACAAAGATTAATGCTCTGTCATGAAAAATAATTTAGTAAAAGGGTGGGTGTGTTTATTTACCATGTTTACAGAAGAAAATCTCAGTGTTTGACCAACATTCTCCTTCAGTGATTCAAAAACAACTCCACAAATAAGTTCCCATTGTGATACAAGAAGGAATGCTGTACTTTGTTGATACACTTCACTTGGTATTTAATCCTTAATAACTGCTGTATGATAAAAATTATTGATCTAACCACATTCCAAAAACCTGGCGAATTCTTCATCCGTGGCCTATCAAAGCCTGGCAGAGCAGAGCTGATTTATTTCGTCTGTCTCTCTGTTAAATCGTCCATTAGCATGATTAGAAAAAAATTTAATGGGCATATAGATGCTTTCTTTATCATCCCTATCTCAGCAGTATCTATAGGGGGAATATACACCGTCGAATTCCTCTCACTCTAGATTAAAAAATACTCAATTTAATACCAGTTTTGAGACTCAGCGACAATTCTTTCCTTGATCAATCAATAGACATGATAGATCTGCAAAACCAACTTTTTAAGAAGAGAGAGTGCATACTTATAGATATTAATTTATCCCTTTTTAGAAATTTACGATTACAATTGTTGTGATAATGGGAGATAATCATGATAATGCACTGGAGTTAGTGGACTTGTTTGACACTGACTGTAGTAGACTTGTGACTTCTGGAAACAACAATGCCAGGAATTTGTAACAGAACCTCGAGCATTGATAGATGGCTATAAGGACTGACTGGTAAAATAATGAGACCAGAACAGTCCTAATGATAAGAAATTAAGATTGTCAATGACTTCACTAGAATGATACAGAGCTCTTCAATTGTCATACAGAAATATAATTTGGGGGCATAAGATCGACCTTCTTTTGGTGTAATGAAGCATTATGGGTAAAAACCCTGCACGTAACCTTAATGACATGCACTAAATGTTGTCTCTCAGCTAATTGTTGTCAGGTTTCTCTAGATATGTATTGCAACACACGATAAATTAACAGAATTTGTTACATCAGAATAATGGCTTGTAAATACTAGCATTACTCTGTTACGTGTGCATAAACATTATGAATATTTTAAATAAACAAAACCAGTGTATTAGCATGATTAGTGTTTGCCCTAATTAAAGGATAAACTGATTGATAATCTGTCATCTCTTATCAGACAGTAGTAAATGTGCTTTTCCAGTCTTTTCCGGTCACTCCAGACATTAGCTAATGTTACTATTCTCAGTGGTCATGTTGGGAGCTAAACTGTCATATAATCCACTTTGTATCCACAATTATTTATCCATTTTCATGATTACATAGGCTATACCCTCCCTTTTGTGTAAATTACTTCCGTTTATATCCACAATCCTAGTACCACTCATGGTAGCTCAGTCTGTAGAGCGCTCGTGAAAGTTGTGGGACCTTAAGATGACCTTAAACACCTAGCCCCATGTCACGGCAGGCGTTGGCACAATAAAGATGATCCCTCACTGCTCCAATGGCCTTGAGTGCCGAGTAAAGATCAAAATGTGAAGCCCTTCATTAGTACGTGTGACGTCTCTCTATGATTGAAAAATTCTTGAATGGGATGTAAAACAACATACAATCAATCAATCCACAATCCTTGTCATATATATTTCACCATCTACTTATACTTTCAGTTGAATATGTCCACTTTTTAACAGTTTTTTTCCTCCTTTAAAACATCACAATGTCTTATCCATCTTTTGTAATCACTTGATAAGTATCTACTTTTGATCCATAACAAAGTAAGTGTCTTCTCCACTGAATATCCACATCACAGAATTGCACTGTCTTAAATCCATTCTGTTATATCCACATTTACTTTCTATGATTTAACATCCAGTCAATTCACATGATCCAAGAGAATTTACAAAAATGTCCACATATCCAATATTCCAGACATATATTAATTTGGGTCAATTCAAGGTCAAGTAATATAACTTGTATGCTATATCATCATGATCACGTTAATGCCTTCTTCTAGTGAATTATCACTCATAATATTTTTCATATCCCATAATCTGTATAATTTGTATTCCAGGAGCATTGTGATGTCATATAAGCATATGCCTTTGTACATGATCAAAATCATATTAGACATGTTAGAATTCCAAGTAAATCTAATGAAAATATAAAACTAATTTTACTTGGAGACCAGAAGGTCTGCGTGGGGATTGTTGCTCTACTGTTTTGAATACTAATGTAACACAAGACATAAGTATTTTGTTAATTTCTAAAATCTTCTAGTTTCCAGGTTATACGAGTTTTCATTGAAAAGAAAATTAATCTATGGTTAAATATTTACATTTGCAAATGTTTTCCTTTATATAATACTACTGAAAGCAATGCGTATCTATAACTGTATAAATACAGGTACGGGGTCAAGAGGTCATAGATGTGCATATGGATAAACGTTCGACATAAAATCTCTGTGACGTCATAAAGGGTCGACGTGCGTTCAGTGGATTACATACATGCCGTTGGGTTTGAAAAATGATGCATTTCACATGTTAAAAGTCACAATCAGGCAAATATAAAGTATGAATAAGTCACAAATATAAGTAATAAGGTATCATTTTAAAACATCTATCAGGCTATAAATACAGGCTTTATCGAATTTAAACTCGTAACCATGATGATATATTGCACTTTTAAAATAATTCAAAACTTTGTTGACAACATAAATAAGGTAATTTTCCCCATAAGTACAACAAAGATACACATGTACATGTACAGCGCTTTAAGCAAAGGTATACTAGTATATATTTTATCCTTAAGTCAAAAAATTCTTGTGTCCTGTGGTTTGGTCTTAATTGTTAATTCCTGAAATTCTTCTGTCAAATTCCAGAGATTGTCATATTTAACAATTATAAGGAATGTTTTATTGTGGAAACAGTAATGTATTTATATAAGATTTACAATTTAAACATTATCATACATACACATGATGCAAGTAAATGAACTCATCATTCTTCTAGGTAAATAAATTAATGCCTAATTTAGACTTCCTGTAAATAACAATAATTTTTCTCCTAAACAACTCTGACACCAATCAGTAAATTAAACTTCATTTTTCTTCCCAAAATTGTCGCCCGCTTGGCTGGCGCAGTGATTAGAGCGTCTGCTCTCAAGTCGCGAAGTAAGGAGTTAATCCTTACGTCGCGGGTTTGAATCCCACTGTGGGATGTGAAGACTGGTCCTTCGGATGAGACCGTATAAATCAAAGCCCCGTGTCGCAGTAGATACTGGCACAAATAAGATCCCTCCCTGCTCAAAGGCCCTAAGAGCCAAGCATAGGACAAAATTTGTAGCTCTACACCGGCAAGTGATGGTGTCTCCATATCAATGAAAAATTCTTGAGAGGGGTGTTAAACAACACACAATCAATCTATCAATCAAAATTAAATCTCCAAGTCTTGAAGTCCATACCTTGATCAGCATTATATCACCCCCTTCCAATTCTGAATTTCAGTTATAACACTAAAATCTTATTTTGATCCAAATCTTTTTGCACTTGGACACTTGACATTAACATGATTATTTAAATTTTCATTAAGGCCTAAAAGATCATTTATTTAGAATTTCTTTATCAAATTCCTGTGTCTTTTTTAAATTCCTATTATTCTGCATGATGACAATAAAAAAAATCTCCACGATTATCTCAAAGGCTTTTATCACAACAAACAAAACAACCCAACACACAAAGACAACTATCTTCTGGGGGGAAATTAAACCTCCAATTTTATACATTCTTACCCTATTACATTCCACTAAATAAGGAGAAATATTTAGCATTGCCTGATACCATCTTGATGTGAAATATCATTTCAGAAAAATAATTAAACAGACAAAGACTTATTGTTAAAGCCATACCTAATTTACATTACAGAATGTAATTTTTAAAATCCGGATGTCAAAAGGTTAGTTCCTGACAATGTCAAAGGAATATGATATTCCAAAAAGGACTGCACTCAGTTTTAGATATTCTTCTGAGTTCAGCAGTAGATCAGTGGACTTGGTCGATAAATATGTTACTCATTAAACCACATGATATTGCTGCAATTGTGTCACTAGTCCAGGACCCTGGATCATCCAAACGTCTAAGATTTCTATTTTTTCATAATACGAACATTCAACATGTTCAACATGATGCTCGAAAGTTAACAATTGGAAACTTATAGGAGACATTTTTAATGAAAATTTTTAATTGATGTTTTGTAATTGTTTTCTACTTATGACAAATTTGACAGCATACAGATTCTGACTTCACCATGTTCACATGCTTAAAATTTAAAACTACTTCTTGATCCTAAGTTCTTAATCCCAAGGTCAGAACAAGTCATTGCAATCTGAGTCACAACTTCATTTAAAACTATTACACTAAAATCACAATTCTGGATGTCCATAGATACTTTACATGTTCTGCACATAAATTGGCGCATTCAGAATTTAGCACAATCACTGGGTACCAGCTCTATCCAGTTGTTGTGGAATTAGCTCTACACAATTCAGCTCCATTTTTCCATGCGAAAGCCACTAAAATCAGGAAGCCTGCTATTTTAAGTACACATACAGTATATGTATATACTGTATATGTTCTTTTCAATTGAGAACCATGCATGTATACATGGCATAGGGTTCAAAACAGGTTCCACAAAGTGTCATGTCAGGACATGAAAATTTTCTTTTGATTCATATGATTAGTGATCATAAAATCTAATTTTATCATCATAAATGCTCTTTTAAACCAAGCAAGCAGCATGCACATAAAAAATGAAACCTTTTAAAACCAAATGTCTTTCTTAGATCACAAATTATTTCAGAGAAAAGTAAGAGTAATCAACATGATTCAGGAACCACATAAACTGTAAAGACATTTAGTCATTAGGACATCTGAATGTTGTGAAAATCCGTAAATAAGAACTACTGTTTATCAAAAATTTTCATAAGTAAAATTTTCGTGGGCTGAGGAAAAAATTTGAAATCAAAAGAGTTTGATTTAGTGGATAAAGAAGTACATAGTTCTCATACCTAGAAAATAATGAAAGTTACATCCCCCCCCCCAACAAAAATAAGCGTTTTCACAATATTCAGTCATCCTTTGATTTCAAATGAGATCATGGAGAGGTTACTGTTAGATACCAACCTTTTTGATAATACTTAGAGTTGTGTGTCCATCGAAATCCTGTACACAGGCCAAAGTCCGTCAGCTTCAGGTGGCCGTCTTTATCAATCAGGATGTTGTCTGGTTTGATGTCTCGATGTATAAATCCCATTTTATGCACACTTTCTATGGCTAGCACTAATTCCGCTATATAACACTGCGCTAAATCCTCCTTAAATATTCCGAATTTGATTAAAAGTCCCATTAAATCACCACCCGGTACATAATCCATCACAAAATAAAGGTTATCACGATCCTGAAAGGAATAATATAACTTCACAACCCACTCGTTGTCAGCCTCAGCTAAAATATCACGCTCCGCTTTCACATGAGCTACTTGATTTCGTTTTAACACATCACTTTTCCGTAATGTTTTCATGGCATACAAATGACCCACATCTTTTTTTCTCACTAACGAAACTTCCCCAAAAGCCCCAACCCCTAGAGTTATGATCTTTTCGAACAGACCCCTTCTCATTTTGGCACGACGTAATCTGATATAGTTGGACTCTTTTTGATTTAACATCCTACGCATCTGTTGCTGAGCATCCTCTGAAAGACCCACTTTGTTCATCTCGCGTTCTAACTGAAACCGTCTCGTCACTCGCTCCTTGCACGCCTTTAAAACATTCTCCACATGCTGCTCCATGTAGAATTTGAAGGCTTGCGGTGAGTAGTTTTTTAATCGCCCCTCAGGGCGAAGTCTATCACAGTCCTTGAACTCGTTTTTCCTCTCCGGCATAGGAGAGGTGCAGCGAGTTTTCTCTTGAGTACTACTCGCATCTGACACAGTCGATAATGTCTCGTCAGTTTCGTCCTCCTTGTTTGCACCGTTCCCGAGGTTACCGTTTATATTCGGAGTCTGTTTGTTGGGAGGGGGTGGTATTGGAGGTGGTCCTGCCCCCAGGCTTGGTTTGGAGGTGGGAACAGGGGGAGGGGAGGCCTCCAAGTTCTCAGACACTTGGACTAAAGGCACACGGGGAGGAATGGGGGGCTGAGGGCTATCACTGTGATACACAGGGGGCGCCGTTGTATGCGGCACCTGTAGCGGTGTGAACCCCTGAGGAACGTGGGGGGACATGGCCGTGATTTGGTGATGGAGTTGAGGGGGAAGGTGGGGGTATGGTGAAGCAGTCTGGTTGTATTGCGGCACAGGTTGTAAAATTGGTTGAACCACCTGAACAGACCTCCCCGGATAAGGAGGTGGGGGCTTGTCAGGAATATCAGAGTTCGTAGAAGGGGTGGATGTGGTTGAATGAATGGACATGGGTGACTGATTCGTTGCTCGGGATGAGTTGGGAGAGTCTGATCTCGGGGTGGATGTGGGGGTGTCCGAGGCCGGCCGATAATAAAGTCCATAGTGAACATTAGGGGGGAACTGGTGGGGGGCACTGATGCGTGTCTGTATGCCCCGCTTTTGACCCTGGCTCTGTAGATGTGCAGCGTACTGCTCGGGCGTCAACATCTGTGGAGACTGACGTGTGATTTGGATCTGTATGTTGTTGGAGCCCTGTAGGTGTGTAGCTGAAGGAATCCCATTGTTTGATGGATTGATTTGAGCCTGGTAAGACGATATGTAACTTCCGGTCGATGTCTGGGGGTTCTGTGGTGACTGGCCTGGACCGGTGGCCATTTGTAACATTGGTTTTGATACCGCCACACTTTCCACTGACTGCATCACAATCTGAGGCTGTTTTGCCCCCCATGTGTGCATTGGTTGGGGTTGTGAGGTCCCTATACTCTGTGGTTTAGGTAACTTAATTTGAACACTATTTAAATTGTTTCCAGATATTTTCACAGTGGCGGGTGTGCTGGCCCGACTTTGGCTGTAAGGTGGCGGACATTTTATTGTGATATTCTGTCCATTAGCACTATTGATCACATTAGAAGGATAATGCACTGGGTGGCTCTTGGCGTTCTGGATGATGACCGGCTGCCGGCCCACGGGACTCATTCCTCTCTGCGGCGTCACGGGACCACTTCCTGATGACGACGGCGTTGATGGATTCTGGGATTGAGGAGGGGGCGGTGGGGTGGACTGAGCCACTTGAACTGTACTGAAGGCAATATACTGCTGGGGGTTAGTGGGGTTCGTCTTTAACACCTGACCCCCAGCTGGCTGGACCATCATAGGTGGTGCCTGAAGTCTGGCTGTGGCAGGAAGATTTCCAGTCATGGTGGTTTCCACGACGAGTGTCTCCGTCGAGGATGTGATAATGGGGGCCCTTGGGGGTACAGGAGGGGGAGTCTGATCCCCATTAACAGTGACACTGGGGGCCGATATGGGGGTTCCCTGCCGTGAGGCAGGATTGACTTCATACACAGGTGGTACCCGGCTTGAGGCGGACGTCAGTGGTGAAGCGGTGTCTGAACGCTGGTCCGAATCGGAGGGAGCCTTTCCATACTTAGACTCGAAGCTTGGTTTTCTCTTGACTGGTTTTGAATAAGGGTTTGCAACTATAAAGAAAACAAAACACAAAATTCATCACATTTTTGAAACATTTTTCTCTGTTATGCTAAAGCACATTATGGTAACTACCGGGTAAGTTTCTTTATGGTAATCAAAAATATATCTTTAATAATTAACTGTTGTTTTAATTTATTTGTTCTTTGACATTTTGCACTTACTTGTTGTTTTCACTCCATTCTTTCCCTTTATGTCATTCAGTTTAGAAAGGCGGTTTGACAAGTCCTGTATAAAGATAAAACAACAATGTTAATTCGTCTCTGTGTGGGAGAATTCAATCAAAACTGATCATAAATCTGACAATGTCTGACAATTTTTCTGCACTTCGCAAGACACTGCAGAATTTAATAAAGACAGGCTGCCTAGAATCTCCTTAATTAATATTCATGATTTCTTAACACTTCAATACATTCATATATATGTATTATTATAAAATATTTTATATTGCTGATAATATAAAGTTTAAAAATTCTGAATAATGTTGAAAAGGAATATAAAAGTTCAAGACATATCGGTATATATGTAAAATAATACAGGTTGTCTTCACATATTTTTAACAGTAAAGTATAAAATATTAACTGAATAATTCTGAATATCACAATATTTTATCATTATTTATTTCATATGCAAAAAGTTTTAATAAAATTGTTGCATATGTATGTCATTTTTATCCAAGCCTAGAAGATTAAAACGATCACTCTGATCAATAAATTGTTATAAATTATATTTCTTTCAGTTCCACACTCCTTTTCTAAATTATTTTTATATTTGAATAACCTAGGGCACAAAAGCTGGTTGAAGAATTGAATATATCATCCAGAATTCAACAAGTTCTCATTCATCACAAAATGCAAAAGATTGTTTGTGAACTTATTTTAAACACCTGGGCCTAAAATTATGGACATTGGAAAAGCTAGTCTATATGTACAATTTCAACTCATCTAAAGGTTTCTTAGTTGTGTGTACTCGGATCAGGATGTACAGTTAATTAAGACACTAGTCCATCTGACACCTATCCAGTACATTAAAACGCGGCCTAAAAATCCTCCAATCAGAACTCCTGTTTTATTGGGCTTTGTTCTCAGCAGCTACGGGTACCTACCATTGTAATGTAGACCCAGTGACAGATCAGGTCTGACATTTACTGCCAGGTCATTCTAGGTATTTTACTGAGGCAATTAGTTGCAATAATAAACGTTTTAAATATTAATCCCTTGCGTACACACTACAGCAGTAATTTTTTTCCTTACCCCTGGCCCCTGTCCAAGGTAACAGACAGAGAAGAATTCACCCTGAGATACGTCAAACTAATTACACCAAACCACATGTACCTGTCCCTACAATTTCTGTTCCTTCCACAACTAACATTGGATATTTCTCTTTTTTTTTTTTACAGAAGAACAACAAATCTTGTTCTCTTGAATTAAACTATCAACAAAACTAAATCCTTTTGATTAACATGCTTTTGAACTTTACCTCTCTTTCTCTCTCTCTCTCTCTCATAAAAACTAAGAATGTTTTAATTCTACAAAATGCCTGCATATGTTGATGTGTATTATTCTATAGAAGGCCAGCTTAGATGGTTTTGTCTTGTTTACTGATGTTAGATAAAATGGTGTATTCACAGATTTTCTGAGGACTAATACAATAGCCACAGCCAGCTATAAGGAATCCCCACACAGCATCTAACAAAAGGATTTAAAACTTCTTAGCTCCCCATTTCACAATGGCATTTGTGTACTTGCCTTTTGTTTAAATTTTTTTGTTCAAAGCTCGCAATTGCATGATTTTGAATGACTCTGATAATTATAGACGTACATAGAACATGTAGAAGTAACAATGTCTATTTGTGGCAGCCTGAGTCGCAGATATAAAGTGATAAAAAGAAATTCCAGAGAGACAATGGGAGACCATTCTTCAGTACCCACTCCCAATTTCAGGACACTCTATTTAAAAGTAACACAGTTTTCTTTTTAGAATCAACTCATAACTTTGGCATTAAAATGTGGGTTTTATCATACCCTTAGTGAATACTGCTTTGCTGCGTAAATAACTGGAAGAAAAAAAAAACACATGTATTTTGTTTGTTTTCACTGACATGGTCTATGAGCAGCAATAACACCTTTCACATTCTTCCCATTGTAGAAGTTTTGTTGGGCATTTGTCAGGAATGTCATGTTGGGTGATATTGCAGACTGGAAGTCTGTATTAGTTTTTAAAAATGTCCAAGGCAAACAAACATTCCACTACCTGAAATCAGGTCTCTCTTTCTCTGATGATAAAAATATTAGAAACCTCAATGCACTGTAAACCAACTTTTATTTACGATGACTTTATTTCGCGATTTAACGGTCGTAAACTAGTTTGCGATGATTAATTTTGACAATCAAGCCTTTTTTTTTGATCTGCTGTCAATACAAGAGAGACTTTCAGAACCAGTTCGCGGCGAGAAATATTTGCGATGACGATGAGGCTCTCGCAAACTTCGCAAAAATTTCTCGAAATGTTGGTTTACAGTAATAGGAGAAAGGAAAATACTATACACGGTACTATGACCTACCCAACCACCCTGTCCATTGTAAGGATACAAGGAGAATGTTATCCCCCATCCCATCAAGTGAAAGGAGAAAGAATGAAACCCCCCACCCCATCCTACCCATTAAGAGAGAGGAGAGAGATGAGATGTTATTTTCTCACCCTGGCCCACCCCATCATGTGAGAGATGGGACAGAAGTTTGTTGAACAAACCTCTCTTTCTCTCAGCGAAGTGCTAAGCAAGACATCCCAGGAATACATGTCCATCAAAAGGCTGACATTGAAATGTTTTGAGTGATGCTGAAAACTCAAAAAATTCTCACCCTTTAACAGGGGTTTGATCATGTTAAAACTAACAATTCTACCAAAGACAAAACTCTAAACTCTTAAGACTTAATTAATACAGTCAATCACAGACACTGCTACTGATTTTTTATCAGAAAGACACACAGATGTAAAGACACACAGACATCTGTGTGAGGCAGAATGACTGAAAGAATAGATACCACTTCTTCATAATAAATGATATTAATGAAGATTTAATGGAGTTATATTTTTCCCACTAGATTTACTACTACATGTATTATCATGATTATCAAAACATTCTTATTTTTGGAATTTTTCAGACAACTTAGATTTTAGTTCACTTCCTTTAATTTATGCTAATGAGGGAGATGCTAATGACTCCCTTGGTAAGTCTTTCTGGAATGTCTTCATACACATTCAGGTCACAGGCATTTTGGGGTTATTAGACTTTCCCCAGCATTGCTGAGATGCCAGAAATACCATTCTTCATAAAGCTTAAATTACTGAGATTGCCATCGGGACAATGGAATCGACAACTAGAGAACACCGATTGACCAACAAACTACATTCTCCACTAAAAGACAAGCTCTTTTGTGGTTACACTGATTTGAGGTTTAAATATCACCAGGTATTTTATTCTTTCTGATATTTATACCACTTCATTCATCTATAGACAATCCAATGTAATCCTCTAGTCTATTAAGACAAGGCTTAGATGTGATTCTTTCTGAACCTTCACTTTACAAAATCTGTCACCCACAAACTGATCAGAATGGCTTTAATTCTCTACAGAATCTTTTATGTCTTCTTTAATTTTAATCATTTCTTTTTTTTTATCATCCCACACAAATATAAATGGAAAATAATCATGATAATAGCAGTAAATTTATGCCACATTTAAGCTCATCTATGAGGTATTGTAGGAGCATTTTTGGTATGTGAGTGATAACTTATGTATACTGCTCTTGTCTGATTCTAAAAATAACCATTTACTGTTACACAGAGAAATACCAACAGAACATCCCCAGAATTTCCCACCAGTTAATGAAATCATGCATGTCGTGACACTTTATCTCCAAAAAAAGAAATTGTGATGACATGCTTTTTCATTTAACATAAAAAAATGATATTGTATTCTGACATTTTCTGCACTTTAAATTTTACAAGCTAATTTTAATCCTACAGTAAAATTGCTGTAGGGTTATGTTATGTAATGTCATAGGTCACACTTCATACTGTGTAATACCAACCATAGAGAACTGCTACTGAGGTGGAATGCTTATATTCTGTTACCTGTAGATACCTGACAGTTTACAGGTGTAAACAAAGGTGAGCATCAACCTCATACTGCAGGGTTTATTAAAATTCAAGGTTTATATGTAAATAAGAATAGATGAATGTGGACATGGTCTAGATGCATGCTTTAGATTCTGATGTGTTGATGATCAGTTCATTTCTCCTTCGGCTTCATTTTTTGTTTTCCTTCCATTTTTTGAGAGCAGCGCTTTCTGTTTACAGTGTGTATGAACAGTTGTGTGCTTAGTGACAAGTTATGAATTCCGTAACTTCTGACACCAAGTGCTAGATCATGTATATATCACTGGAGACCAAATCAAGTCCTCCTCTAGACACTATACATAACAAGCCCAACTCTGACAAATTAATTCATTACAGCCCTGGCCTTATAATTTACATCTAGACAACAGCAATGGAATGTTTAAAGTGATTTTTTTACATTCTGACATTTAGAGGGAGGTGTCATTATTTTATACAAACTTTCATAAAATGATAAAAAAAAAAGATTTTTTCATTGGAAAGGAAAAATTCATCAAAAAATTGAAAATCAATTCCCCTGCAAGAAATCGACAAAAAAAGATCCCTGTGTTTCTAAAACATGTTTACCAAGGTACTACAGTAAATTTACATGTCTGGCAGAAGATTGAATTAATGAACACATGTGAGCCAAAAGAGAGAAAACTGACTGAATCAGTCCATAGAATTCCGACATGCTATCGCCCCTGATCAATGCTAACATTAATACCACATTCATTGAACACAAAAGAACGCCTCTTTTTTAAACTCCTGTATATATCTAAGATCACCTCAAGGCTGTATTTTTAAATCTCAATATTTAAATAAAAACTTAAAAGCATTACAAAGGTAGGACATTTTTTTTACCTAAATGCTCAGTCATTTAATAAGTAATGAAGGCCTGTAATACAGACGTACCTCGGACACTAGAGCACTGTCGCTGGGCCTGAAGTAACGTTTACGGAGTCCGGTTTTGTCTGTCATGTTAACACATCCAAGGTATCATCAAAGAAGGGAACAAAATCCACTACAAAAACAAACTTTCACCTGCAGGCTTATTTCTTTACATTGCC